GGGTGGGGCAGAGCAAAGACAAGTAAATGCTCCATCACGTTAGGAATATCAGCGTATCACGGCTAACTGGACCTTGTGGTGTAGGAGGCTAACCTGGAGGGATCATGAATTCGAGACCAGCCTGCACTGGGTTTGGGAGCAAGTTGAAGGGCAGTTTAGAAAAACATGTCTCAAAGAGTTTAAGAAGAGGGCAGGACAGTGGGTGGGCTGTGGGGCCAGGGTGACGGTTGGGCAGGTAAAGACACCTGTTACCAAGCCTGGTGGCCTGAGTCCCATCCCTGCTGGAGGGAAAAATTGAGTCCTAAAACCTGTCCTCTGACCTCCACATACACAGGATCACAAACAAACAAATACACAAATAAATGTTTTAAAATAAAATGAGAAAGAGTCGGGGTGGCAGGGTAGCCAGGCTAAAAGATAAAAATAAAATAATAAAATGAAGGTTTTTGGGATGTAGTTCAGTATCAAAGCACTTGCCTAGCTAGTGCATGCAAGGCTCTGAGTTCAACATCCAGAGCCATGAAAGATTAATTAGTTAATAATGAAAGTAACAGGTGCTTTTATTGACTAAATTCCAGGTTGATGCTTTCGAAGACTGTAACATCGATATATTTAATAAATTTTCTTTTCTATGTTTTTTTTTCTCAATTACTTATTTTGTGTGCATTGCATGTGTGCCTGAATGTGCAGGAAAGTCATTGATGGGACCCACAGCAACAGTTCAAATGGTAGGCAAGGGCGCTAAGAATGAGAAGGGGCCAGCACGGTGGCGCATGCTTTTAATCCCAGCACTTGGGAGGCTGGGGCAGTGGGGTCTCTGTGAGTTCGAGGCCAGCCTGGTCTACAGAGCTAGTTCCACGACAGCCAGGGATATACAGAGAAACTCTGTTTTTGTAAAACAAAACAAAAGGGTAAGTAAAAAGAACAGAAAGGATAAAGACCACGAGAATAATCCAAGATCCGGCTAAAAGTCAGCCATGTTCTGAAAGGCTCCCTGCTTCCCCCAGGTTTAATTAATTACCCATTCCTCTGTGCATCTTCACGAGCAAAGTGTCACATTTAGAGTAATTTTTAAAATTGCGTTTACTTATTTATTGTTTATCATGAGTGCCAAGGCGCATGTGTGTAGGTTAGAGGACAATGAATGGGGGCCGTTTTTCCCCTTCCTCCACCATGTGAGTCCCAGGAACTGAACGCATATGGTCAGGTCTGGCAGCAGACACCTTTACCTGTTAGGCCATCTCACAGGCCAGGGTAAGTAATTGCTTTTCTTTCTTTCTTTTTTTTGGGGGGGGGGTTTATGACAGGGTTTCCCGTAAAATTGGGGCCAGTCCTGGAACTTGCTCTGTAGTCCAGGCTGGCCTAGAACTCACAGAGATCCACCTGCCTCTGCCTCCTGAGTGCTGGGATTAAAGGCATGTGCCACACCACCTGGCAGTAATTATGTCTTTACATGTCGATTTCTCTGCTTGGCTGAGAACCCTTAGCGCGTGGCTGGAACTAAAAGAGTTGCTTGATAAATGTGGAGCTGAGGGATGGATGAGCAGAAAAAACGCGGGAGTTGGGGTCTGAGAATAAGGGAGAGACAAGCAAGACTGCTGTAACTGCTGTTTGCCCATCTGGAGGACGGGAGGGTTAGCTGCTGAGGCTATGGTCAGAGTGTGAAGCCTCAAGTAGCAGAAAGAGAAAAAGAAGCTTTACTCGGTAGACAAAGGGAACTTAAAGTTTTATAGCAGGCACAGTCTAGAAGAGGTGCACTTGCTTTCCCGTCTGCACGGTCCAGAGCCTGTCTCTTCTCCTTCTGCAGCATCAAGAGCATCACGGAACACAGACCCATCTGAATGCCAGGCTCAGCACACCACATTGGGAGGCAAGTCTGTCGCATCTCCTCACAGAAATGGCTTTTGGATTATCCACATGATTAATTCCAAGAGCCATGAGCATAAATAATGCAGAGGCTAAACAAGCTGAGTAAGAAGCAAGGCTGAGCACAGTGGTTCACGCTTCCGCAACGGGGAGGAGGAAGCAGGCAGGTTACATGCCACACAGTGAGATCCTGGCTCAAAAGAAAATAACCCCAGCTACTTAGGAAGACTGCAAATCCAAGGCCTGCCTGGAAGACAGAGGAAGTTTAGGCCACCCTGTGCAACTAAGTGAGATCCCATTTAAAACAATAAGAAGAAAAATGAAAAGAGGCTAAGGGTTGGCAGAGTATTTGCCTAGCTTGTACATGGTCCTGGGTTTGGTACCCAGCACTGCATAAAACTGAGAGTAATGAATGATACATGCACATAAATCTAGCACTCAGAAGGTGGAGGCAGGAGGTTCAGAAGTTCAAGGTCATCCTAGGCTACAAAGAGAGTTTGGGGCCAGCTTGAGCCAGGGAGATGAGGGCTACATTGCTCCTGGTGGGTTGCTAGCCCTTCTTGAAGGTTCTCTTTCTTCAGAAGTCTGATGTGAGGTTATTAAAGGTTAAAAAAAAAAAGTGCTTCCCTGTCTAGCATGTACAAGTCTCTGGATTCATAACCATATTCTAGGACTGCAAAATAGATAGCTAGATAAATAAATAAATAAATAGATAAGCACAATTTGTTTTTAAATGCACAAAGGATTTAATAGACATTCTTCAGTGAAAGTATACAATGGCCAGTGCATATGGAAGGATGCTTAACATCATTAGTTACCAGAGAAATGCAAATCAAAATCACAATGAAATACTGTTTCACACCCACTAGGATGCCTGTGCTAAAAAAGACAGTAACAAGTGTTGACAAGGATCTGGAGCAATTACATCACACGCTGCTGGTGGAAAAGTACAATGGGCTAGCCACTCTGGGGAAGAGCTGGCGGTTTCTCAGATGAGTAAATACAGAGTTCCCATCACTGCTACTACTCTTCCTGGTGAGCTCTGCATATGTGTGGGTCCTAAGGGGCACGCAAACACCAGCAGGGCAGCCCTCCTGTTCCGTGTTCCTTCAGAGAGTACCTAGTCCCTCATCCCAGACCCTTGGAACAAGGTTATCATTCACTAAAACCCCAGTTTTCTGTCTTTCCTCACGTGTTACGCCCTGTCTGGCCCAACGGCTTCTACCCTCTTTTCTTCCAGAGATCAGCGGCTGTCTGTCTTATCCAGGGACTCCCGTGACAACACTGAGTTCAAATGCCTCTCTCAGCAAAACAAACCAGTTCCTTTAAAAGGGCTTCTTCTTTCCACGCAGAGGTAAACCAACCGACTCATGAGAGGGTAAGAGGCTTTTGCAGAGACACGTGCACCATTTTAGCTCCGGACCAACCTGACTAAAGGTTTCAAAAGCCAATGAAGACCTGAAGAAAAGGTGATATCTGAAATCTGAAGGGGTGAAGAGGTCTAACAGGAAGCTTCTGAAGAAAGGGAACCTTCAGGAAAGGCCAGGAACCCAGCAGGAGCAGTGCAGCCCTGATCCCCTGGAAAAATGGCCTTCTGGGTACCTAACTCACATGCAGCCTGTGCACCGTGCTGAAGGCCAGGATGCAGTAGGACAGGTAACTGGCCTTCGAAGCTCGCCTGTCCAGGTGGTGCTCCACATCCCCCTCCCATCTCCCGGGAGCGTCGTGTTCACAAGTGTGCGGATCTCGCCTAAAGCCAATGCTTCTCCAGTAGCCCATCAAACTTTCTCAAAGTTAGCAAAGGTGACGCCCAGTCTACTTGCCGCTCTGAGTCTTCCCTCACATGCCCACATCTCTGTCGACTTCTAACTGCCCGTGAGAAAATCAAATACCATATACACTCCCAGGAACTGGTATGCACAGCAGGCGCACCCAAGTGCACAGACACACACACACACACACACACACACACACACACACACACACCACAGAAGGCGCACCCAAGTGCACAGACACACACATACACATATCCATACAAGCATGTGTGCATACACATACA